AAGGGGAAATTAAAATTACAAAATAAAAGTAAAATATTTTTATTTAAGAAAATAAATGACTAAATTATTTGAAGTATTTTCCGAAAACGACTTATTTCCTAGTCTTTGAATGGCATTTAGCAATTGTGAGTACGATTTATAGACACAGCTTTATGGAACAACAATCACTGGTTAAAGTTTTTATGCAACGTCCTCAAGCACATAATGAAATGGGCAAACTATATATAATAAGCATTAATGTATATATAGTTTGCCCATCACTTACCAGGGTTATAGATTAGAAGTAAAACCATCGCGATTAACAGGCATAATGATATTATCTTAACTAAAGGCTTGCATATTTTGAAAGATGGTATCATTTTATAAAATTAATTCAAAAGAGGGTAATAGATTTAGAAGACTAATTTCAAAATACGTCGATATATCTATGTGCCCATCGAAATATAAAACATTTTTTGTTCGTTGTCCTGCTTCTATCAACTGAAAATGTTGCTGTTTAAAATGATACATGTTTTTTATCGGATTGACTAAATCTTTTCTTTATTTTATTTTAGTGAGCCTTATGAAATACATGTATAATTTTTTTTATTATTTATTGATGGTGGGTCAGGAAAATTTTTCGACAACTTGTGATAGTAAAGTTATTGGCAATGATTTGTTTATCATGAGGTGAGAAATACAGATTCAGAGAATAATCTTTTATGATATTTAAATCGAATTAATATCACTAAAAGTAAATGCTGGGTTATCTTACATCGGATTTAGAATAATTATTTTATTATGGAAAGTGTAAACATGGGTTATTATGATAATATTTACTTTTAATACCAAGATTTTATAATTGACAGCACACGACAATGATCAGTTTACTTACACTTGTTGTCTTGTGTTTTAATTAATGAGGAAACTTACAAGTTACACAAAAGCAAACATGATAATTCTTGTTACATTGCAATTCTAACATTTCTATGAAAAGTGCATTAATATAAAGATTTTATAAATATTTGAAGTCTTCGGAACATTGATGCAAAAACCATATGAAAATATTTTTGTTTTACAATGAAAAAAAGTGTCATTTTGGAGAAGAAAAAAAAATTCGCCCCTACTTTTTTTCTAAGATTTTTTCAAAATAATTTTTAGTGACAAATTATGGAACCATCTTCTTTGAATATTAACCGGATACAAAAGAACTGAATCAATGCGATTATATCAAAATCCATTTTGAATTTATAGAATTGAATGAAATGGTATGGTGAAATCTGAATAGATGCTGATAGAAGTTGAAAGCTGACAAAAGGCCAACTGTAATTTTGGTCAGTATGAAAGAAATAATTGCTTAGTGTTTTCAAGTTTTGTAAATTAAAATAAAACAATGCTATCAGTGTCTACAGTAGTTGTGTCATACTACTTAATCTAAATATTTTTATAACGATCTAAGATTTCTTTTAATCGCGACAGGTTTGCTTCACCTTGTTACTGCCAGTAATGATCAATTATAGCGAAATCTTAAACTTTATTTATTCCCCTTTCTCTACACTCTTCATTAAGACTATTAAAGGTAAATAAAGTGTTGTATAAATAAACTACTGAAAAGCTGAAGTGTAAAATTTCAAGGAATCCTCGACAAAAGCCTACTGTTTAACTAATTAACCTATCAATTATGTGATTTAATATTTAAATGAGATTAATTAGATAACCACAGTGACATCATTCCGTCATTACCACCTTTGACAAGAAATCTTTGTCAATGAAGTATGACTTTTTTTTTCGGTAAAGTGGATTCACACTGCTCTCAGACCAACGAAATTTCATAAAAGCATTTTTGAATGAAATAGCGACTTATAATTTATACTATAAGATTCTTAGTTTGTTTTGTGTTGATGCAAATCCCTACATTGAAAATATTTTCTGTTCAGGAGGATTTTCATCACAATGTTTCATTTTCATTGGGTATTTCTGGAATGGAACCATTATAATTCCATAATAATTATAACTTACATTTCTAAGGACCTTATGACATTCTAAGACAATACGTACATTAAAATATTGTGAAATGACAGAATAGCTTTGCCACAGTCGTAGGTTATTAGATCAGATGTGTTTGATATCTCCGTTTCTGCGTATGATTGGTATTAACAATCATTGTTCAACAAATGTGTAAATTTACAATCCAAATGATATACCATCATAGATTAATGATCTTTACAAAAAAGAAGACCTGACTTCTGATTTTTCACACCCTTGTGAGTGACGCATCCAGGATAGAAAGATGGCCGTTGTCCTTGTATCAAAAATGTGTATTCAGGTCCGATCATTCCAAGTACTGCTAAATTAAACGTCATCTGCAGAATGAATCCTTTAAGAGACTAAGAGTTTACTAAAGGAGACTTGAAGGATATTGTTTAAAACCCTCTCCATAAACATGTCCATGAATGAATAATATCTAACGTCTGCTTTTGGTAATTATCTGGCCTGGGAAACAGTCTTCTGTCATTGTGTGGCCAATGTTAATCTAGGTTTGTTTTATGCTGTAAGATTAATATTACATTAATTGAAATTAAAGCACATCATAAATCCACAATTTCTAGATTAAAAATCTATTCCAACTAATTCTTATCCAGAACAGAAAATGAATTTTATAACAATTAGTTTGAGTAAGTGAAAAGATTTCAAAATATTATGGTATGGGTAGTAAAAGTGTAGTCTTGAAGTCTGGTGGTAATAAAAATGTAACTACATGTCAAACCATATACTGCAGTAATCGATACTTTAAATCCCTTTACCATCCAGATTAAAGAGATTATCATTATTTAATCCCTTCATCGTTTATTATTTAAATACATCATCCTGCTATTTTACTGCTGTTACACTATTTATAATTTTTCTGTAATTGTTTTCTGGCGACTAAACTTCTGTTATGTTTTTAGCTGAATGTGTCGTCGGTATTAATTCTTTTCGTGTATATTGGTTCAAATGTCTTGAAGAATTATTTCGTTTCGGAAAATAATTACATGGTTTTAAAACAGATCATCATTTTCGTGTCAACAACTTCAGAAGTTTTTGGTGACTGCTCAAATATTTTTTACAATTCTTGAAATATTCAGTCGTGACAGCAAAAAGCGCAAATAATAAAATAAAATTATTTTTTATTATTATGTGTTACGGAATTATTTGAACTGCTTGCAATATATTTTGATTTGAATAGCTGTATAATTTGTACTTATTACAAACAGTTCTTTTTAAAATATTTGTTAGATATATTTCCATGTGTTTCATTGAAAGTACCAGAGAAACTTCAATGTTCAGAAAAAAAATTATTTGTATTTTATTGAAGAGTTTGACTTTTTTTTTCATTCTTTTAATTTATAGTGCTTAAATTTTAAATACACAACTAAGAATAATTTTGTTTGAATGTAAAAAAAAAATAAGTACCGTTATACCCATTAAAAGAATATTATTAAAATGTGCGCTCAGTCGTTTACTTGACATTTGGTTTGCGGAATAAAATTTGTCAGGTCACACGCGCCTTAGTGCTTCCACCCGTGACGTTCCACTTGTCGTCTTAATGACGTCACGCCCATGACCTTAAAGAAGAAAATGGTGATGATGAGGTTTTTGTTAAGAGATTAAAGGGTCATAGTAAATTGTTATACATCATGTATTCAACCATTTATACAAGCACGGGTCGTGTTTTTACGGATCAGTAAACAGCCACGTGCCGTTTTAAACATTCATCAATAGCCGAACAAAAGACTCGACTCTATTTGCAAACAATCACCTCCAAATTAACAAAGGTTTTCTAGGTTCCCATCTGTCAGTAGAATTTCTATCTTATTTCCCAGATCGTTTTATCCAGATCATCAGAAATATTTCTCACTAATAATTTAAAAGAATTGAAATCAATCCTTAATCTTCAAGAAATTTTGCACGGGCCCTTAATTATTAATTGCATAAGTTTTATTATCTAATTGTTCCTCTTTTAAGAGAGACTATATAACTTAACTTTTACTGGTAGGAATTTCAGGATAAATGTTAGCTTATAAAATAAGAGCAAAATGTATCAATTATAGAAGTTTAAAATTCATAATTAGTGCAGATTACAGTAAAATAATCACCATATGCCAGTTGCGTACAAAACGTGAAATGAATATGATTATTTGTTCACGTATAAAATAAAACGAAGCGCTAGTATTTTCCCATATTAAGAAACATTTCCATGAAAATTGCTATTATTTGATGGGGATTAGCATTTATTTTTCAATTTCTACTGTTTGAGATTTATTTCTTTTTAAACAATCGAAACAAATAAGAGTGGCTATTGAGAAAAAAATGCAAAGGAACACGCATATATCCTAAACAAATTTTTAGTTTATATGTGTTTTTTTTTTCCTTCCTTTTTTAGATTTTTTTCTGGAAATATTTTACATTTATTAAATATATTCAAAATCGCAGAGTAGAAGGTAAATACAGAAAATTGTAAATACCTTCTACGAAATTCCAATATTATTTCTTAGTTCCAAAAGGAAACCACACACACTGCCATGTCGACGGCAACATTACCACGTGCTACTGTTCAAATATAAACATAAAGAGGGCGGGGCTTATTATTCTCCATCTCCCTTCTCTTGGTCTCATGACAACAACATTCAATATTCTATCGAAAACCCTCGTGTTTCTCTTCTTTCAATTTCAATTAGTGATTGTGATAGGTTTACCCGTCTTTCCATTCCATATGGTACTAATTCTTTCCAATTACCACTGACCTCTTGCGCTTTTTGATTGGACTAACAATAAAGATTTTTCACTCCTACCAGCAGATGGGTGGAGCTAATTGTCATCTGGGAGTCAGTGACGTCCATGATTGGTTAGTTTAAGTGTATTCCTGGCTCCACCCACTTCCCTCGGGAGATTCTATCGTCTGATGGGAATTACTGTTCGGAGGAGGGCAGAGGAAAGCAACAAAAGCTTTTACCCGAGAGACAGCTCGAGCAGACGTGACTACGGCTTCTAGTTGGAAGTGTCCCTCGATAAACGATTCGACAATATCAGGGTTTGAGTTGGTATCAGGAGTAAATAAAGTGTACAGTAGCAAGGAGCAAGGGGAACCATTTACCTGACAATAATACACGTTCCTTTTTCTCATGATACATTAGAACGTCAACACTTTTTTCATTCTGATCTTATCACAGCCTTCAATCTCTTGGAACAGTTTTATCAACTAGGAATTTTTGTGACAAATGTAAGAAGTGGTGTGAAATTCTAAGTTTTTGTTGAGGATTTTGGTGTCAGGGTTGTGCCTGAAAGTAAGAGTAAATGTTTGTAACGGATCAAGAAACGACTAGCCCAATGAAGGAAGAATCTCTATCTTCCCAGTTATCTGCTGTCAGGAATTGGATGCAGCCGACAGTTTTAGATCAAAATGGGAGGTAAGATAATTTTTCATTTCTAATCTCAGGTTTAGGCAAAGTATGACTATGTAATAACGTTTTAAAGAATGAATATTAATTATGATAGTTTTGCTAATAATAATTCTACAATTATAGCTTTTTTTAATCAGTAATGAGGGTTACGTCAATCCCTTGCTGCAGATACTAATTCCCCGTACCGTGGTTGAATTTCCAGATAAATTTAGCCCCAATCCCCGGGGTGGCTATTATCGTAGTTTATTATTCATATCATGACTGTAGGAAATCTCGACTTCCCAAAACGATTATTTGACTACATAATTTATTTGGTAAAATGATTTTTTAACATTTAATGGTTGACATCTCGAGTAAACACCATCGGTGAATTTGTTCTATAAAAGTGACTGAAGTGCAGGACAGATAGCAACTTATTCTCTAAATTCATATGAAGTACTCATTGTACATGAATATGTGTAGAATCTTTGAACCCTGAAAACAATGGTGTGGGAAGAGGTTCGTTGTGTATCGTTCAATTTTTTATTTATAATTCTAGCGAGCACAGGTTTTATGTTTTATACAAAATATTATATTTGTCTCAAAATGATAGCCGATAGATATTCCCAATTCAATATATATATAGAACAACTTTAAATCGAAATCTAAAATATTCACATCTACCTCTTTTACAAAAACTAATTAACTACCGTATTTCATATTTGATTAGTTGTTACAAGTCATTTTATAAAATATTCATTGACATTACTATACTTTCTTTTTTCACTTTTAATCATTGTATTCGTTCACAATACTTGCCGTTAAGTAATTAAGTCGTCTATATCTCATATACAAATTCAGAAATTCATTAATTTTGGAAAATCAAATTCACCCCGTCTTTTTTTAAAAATAAAACGTGGTTTTTGAAAACCATAAGGATATTAGGCAAATATCTTGTCAACGAATCTTGTGAATCATGAAAATGGATATCATTAATATCATTAGGTATTTATTCATTCATTCAATTATCAATCTTTTTTTCAGTGTGGGATTAAGTCGTGCACATTTTGAAAAACAACCACCAAGTAATTTAAGAAAGAGTAATTTCTTTCACTTTGTACTGGCATTATATGACAGACAAGGTCAACCAGTTGAAATAGAGAGGACAGCTTTCATAGATTTTGTAGAAAAAGATCAGGTAAGAATTTTACAGTTATCTTTTGGTATGTCTCTCACTTTTATCAACCCGACATTATATTACAACTTCACACATAATATAGCTTATAATGTTTATTTGGTACTATCGGATTGTGATGGTATAATTAAGATATTGTACGACTTTTGAGACACTAGGAACGATCATCGGATAATCTTGTCACTTTTTTTAATCGCAGATCCGTTTTCAGTTCCGCATTTTGTTTTAAGATTAGATAGCATTCACGTCTTCCAAGAACCGCATGAAACATTTGCTATTATTTTGGGTGCAAAAAATACCATGTAGCCTACTGAATCTTAAACTGAAATTGACGTCATTCAAATCTAAGTTTATGTCAATAGAAAATTAGAAAGGGAAACATGCCGATTGTCATGGTCGATAGATTGTTTCCGTATAATCAATATTCTGAAAATAGTCTTAAAAGAATAATTAAAAGACTAACATTGAAAGTTGTTTCCTATGATCTTGATTCTAGAATGTTTCTGCTCGTTGTCACGAAATATTGATATTAATATTCCGGTTTATAACAAATAAGGTGTTGAATTTAATCGAACTTAATTAACCGGAACACCGATTGTCAATATTTTCTTTCGTGAAAATCATTTTACAAGCCTCGACTTTTGCAATTTTAGTTTCCGGTTCATCTGACTGGCCAATATATTCACATCAAAAGAATTTTCCTCAGAATTGTAACTTATTTTCATGTACAAGTACCAGTAGTTGAAGATTAGTGATATATGCTATAAAAAGATCGACTTTAATGTATAAAATTAAATAAATTGGTTGGCAGAATATAGAAGAGATTATTACGTGACCAAGTCTCTCACCATGAACAATCAATCTCTAACTTTACCTTCATTCATCTAGAACTTTTCAACAATACACGTATAGATTTTCTTCTAACATTCCAAATTGAACAAGTTTTACTCTGTCATATTCACGTTGATATTTTATTTATTAATGAAAGTTCTGGTTAACAAAGCCTCCTCTTGATTAACAAGACCTGCATGTCGTTTTTAAAACCTCTCTGTACCATATTTAAAACTACGTTCCGTTATTTAATTGAATCGACCCATATTTTTATCAACCGGAAGAACTTGGTAAATGTAAATTTGGAATATTTTTTGACGCGAAAATAAATGAATATCCTTATATCGTTCTTACTTATAACTTTTTACATCCTGGAATATTTACTGATGGTAATCTAACCAAAACCGGATAATATACATAAAAGCAATATAGGATGCGAATGCGATTTAAAATAGTGCGCAATCGAAAATACCCCAGAGTTGCCGATAATTTTTAAACATTCAAACATAATTATATATAAGTGATAAAATATTGCAGTTTTCATTTAAAATATTTATTTCGTTTTGTTTCAGGAACACGAATCACAAAAGACAAATAATGGAATCCACTACAGATTACAACTATTATTCGCTAATGGTAAGTTTAAACAATTTGATTTACATTTATTCATTGTTATCCATTGAAATTTTACAATATACTGAAAGTAAATTAACAATCTGAAGTAATATCTTTAAACGTTCATAATTGTACTTGCATACTCTAACTTCAATCAAAAATGGAATATTTTGTAAATGAAAATAATCAGTAAAAACAGGAATGGTTTGGCAATATTGACTAACAGACTCTACCATTTTATATTTCATTATAACAATGAGTTTGATATCTCACTGAAGCATATCAAGTTCTAACTTTATTAAAGAATTATAAATAATTAAACAGTATGCCTATTATCCTTATATCTTCTTTAATTATTTATTCCAAACTTTTATTCGTTTCCACCCAAACAATTCCGTTTAGTTGTCTTTTTTTATTCCTTTGAATTTGACGTAGCTAAAAAAAATAAATCATTTAATGTATTTGATTGTCATTGTGTCTCTACAACTATTACAAATCTAGACCTATGTTATATTCACAATATTTACCTGAAATTAAGGAAGGAACCTTTCTTTATGTCGGGTTTTAAAAGATTTATGAGAATGAAGGAATAAATCCCATCAAATAACAGAGAATGAATGTAAACAAGGTGAAATTAGAATAGAATTGTTGTACTTAATGCCGTGTCGCTAGCCAACTGTCGTGTATTACACGTGCATTGTATGACCTTCAAATATTCTTCAACAATAGACAGATTAAATATCGGCATTAAACAAATAAAATCATTATTGATCTCTTCTGAATTTATAAAGAATTTTACCATTTTTAAAATATGAATGAGGCTTTTATCTTTACCGCTATTCATTTGATATGATATTCAATATCGCTGTTATAAGACGAATTATAATCCTCAAATTTCACACCAGCAAAATTTGGAGATCATATTTGTAATTTGTCAGTGAAAACTCTGGAGTAACACATCACGCTGTCAGTGGAGAAGACAGGTTCTATTAGAGCGACAGATGGGGAGGCTAAATTTTATAGCAAACTATTAACAAATTTATTAGAGAACAATAACTCCCGCACCGCCAACCATCTAATTATAGGCTAGAGTTAAAATATAGATTACAGGCTTAGAAAAACGAAAAGAGAAACAATTTGTTCTGAAATCTAAATATATCTCCATCTTACAACAACTAGTTTGACAGACAAAGAGAGCAAATATTTCAAAACCAGTCTGTTTGATTGGAGGAATATTTCCAGCTTTACCCCCAATTGCAGTCAAAACAGGAAACCCCCTTTATCAAAAACTGGTGAAATATTCTGTATAATCAGATAATTTTTATTGTATGGAAAGTAGAAAATGCCTGATATTTCAGAAAAATCAATATAGTAAAAACAGTAGAATGATAAAAAGTATTGAAGTTAGAAACTAGAGAGAATAAATGATTAATAACTATACTGGATGATATTATTGTCAACTTTTCATCAACTTAAAAGCTTTTGTCGTTACGCTTCATATACATTCAATGTTGGACTTGGTGTGGTGCTTACACTGAAGTCCGCCACAATATGTCCATTTTATCATTAGCAATATTATTTCTTATATTTGTATTTCTTGAAAAACATTTAAATTAGAGAGCTGACATAGGGAATCTAATCTAGTTTAATTGTTAAAAGTATCTTCTTTTTTAAATATATATAATTATTTAGATCTAAAAATCATAAGCAGAGTTGTCCAAAGCAAGAAGCAATGTGTATTTGCGATTTTCTCAAAACCTGTTTCAATATGAGCACAAAAATAATGTGAAGGATGTTATTTGATTTATGTTCGAGATAAAAATGACTAATTTATACTTTAAAGATTCTCATCTCTAACACATGTTTTAACCTTTAACACATAAACATCACACAAAAAAATAAATGTAACACATATATTCCGAGATGAAATATTTTATATCTTTTTCTTTTAACAGTTATTTGCTAGATGTGGAATATAGGCTTATGTTAAAATTATTACATTTTTACAACGGAGAGGGGGTTACCATTTTGATTGTAGTTTTACAACTTTAATAACTGGTAATCATTGATACATTAATTTGCGTCCGCTTAACAATATCTGCATCATTGTTATCAAGAATCAGAAAGCTACGTGAATTTGACCCCATAAAAATTGTATATGGATATTGTATTGCAGGTGTACGACAAGAACAAGAAATTTATGTTCGACTCATTGATTCAGTATCGAAACAGGTAAGGTGTGTTCTACCAACATACAATTCAATTATGATTCGGGGAAATTTCAGGCGGTTTGATACTTTGCTACTTTGTCGGGCAGCTGATCTCAACTCTCTGTGTTTTGGCTATTTCAGCCTAAGGATATAAAGATAAAGTGAATGTGTGTTTCATACAAGTAGATTATTACATTCCGCAGTTATGGATTATCTTTATATATACGAAGTATTTTAGGCATAATTTATTGTATATAATTAATTGCATATATTATGTTACTTATATTAAACAATTATTCTTACAGGCTATCATATATGAAGGGCAGGATAAAAATCCAGAAATGTGTCGTGTTTTATTAACACATGAAGTAATGTGCAGGTAAATACTTTCTTTCTTGACCGATATTAAATTCAGCAATAAGAATATCAAGTCTTTTTTATTGACTGAAAAGATGTAGATGTACAGTCACCGTTTTTATTCTACTTTTTTCAGTCGATGTTGTGACAAGAAAAGTTGTGGAAACAGAAATGAAACTCCATCAGACCCCGTCATTATTGACAGGTAAGCCGAAATATCATTATTTACTTTCCTTTAATTCAAACCATTTTAAAATTATTGTATATTCAAAATACAACACAATTTATAAAAGTCTTGACTATAAAATACAACACAATTTATAAATATAACTTAAAAATCATTACATTACATTACATTTTTAGTCATTACTTTATTAATTTAACATATTTGATGAAAGTCATTTCTATAATTGAAAAAAAAACATAATATTACACATACATTATACTGTCGATAATTTAAAATCCAAATACGATTACTGAAAATCTTTGGACAACAACATATTATATTTGAATATCAGTCGGGTATATACATTATTACATTTGTTAGCTGCTAGTGTTGTAAAACCCACACGATGTTACGACTTATCTATAATGTGCATAAAATGTAAATTCTCCAATATGTAGACATCATTTCTGATTTCATGTAGAATATCTATGTAAAAAGTTGCGTGAATTAATCTTCAGAATGAACACGGTAATGATTTTTACAAGCGATATTACGATAAATACCGTTTGATTCAAGTTATTGTAGACAGGTGTCTCTTCACTGTTGGATATAATGCTACCTGCAGTGATTATAATTTATAACTGTTAACAACCACATTTTGACGTTAGAATTTCAACGTTTGATGATTTGTCCTGAGCCTTTGAACCACATAAATGCACATTTGATAACACTTTATTTGATCGTTTAAATATAAATCGATATTAAAAGCTCATAGTAAGATGTAGCTAAATCTCTGTGTTACTCTAAGATATGCCCCTTTAAACAGCCAATTGTTATTCTTAATAAGGCCTTCTGTTGAAATATCTAACTTCCAACAGTGGAACTAACATTAAAGGCCCGGATATCCGAGAGCGATATGTTCCAGTCCATTTACAACAACTAATCAATGTTGTCTTTGTGTCTGGGCAACTGATGATTAAGATTAGAAATTATAATGTTTAACAACAAGAGCTAAAAGGTTTATAAATTGTAATTTTGACATAGTAACTGACTTTCAATTTGTCATTCACAACTTCCGTGCTGAGAGTTGTTTGAGATAAAATGAATTCTAGGTACAAATAAAGTTCAAAATAATGGACAAGGAGTCCACATCATCTGTAAATATTTCCTAAACATCTAATATTTTCAAAAAGTTGTTTCTTTTGCATTCTACTTTTAACGGCGTGTATTTTAATTGTACATCCCACAATTCTTCTGATATCTCGCTGTTGAAAGTCTCATTCTTTTCACAAAATATTCCTCTGCTAAACAATTGCCGAGACAAATAACACTGTTGCTCGCCTACCAATTTGATGTGAATGTTAGATGTTATTTAGTGTAAGAAATAAAAGAAGTAAATACTGGTATCTCAGCTGGTCACAATGATTATAATGACTTGAATAATGACTTGTATTATTTCTACCAGATACTCTCCAATATTCACATCTTATTTCGTCATCATTGCCTTATTATTTTCTTCAACACTTCCAATTGGAATAACACTCTTTTGCCCGAATTGATATTTTTTTAAATCTTGCATTTCGAATTCAAATCACAATTGTTATCAATATTCCACTCAGTCTATCATATATTGGACAATCCTATAGTTTAAAAAGATGCAATGGATAGGTGCCTTTGACTTTGTGGGTGGTAATAGATAACAACATATCTGCTTCAATATTATAATCATTCCAAATAATACAAAACCAAATGAACCATTAAATGACGAAATCTTAAATGCTCTATTCACAATATTTTCCCAAGAGCAATAATCTATGAAAGAAAATACTATAATGGTAATTGTTGGTGGTTGTTAAACAAATACTTGAAAGTGTATAAGAATAATTTGTCAAGCCCTCAAGGTATGAGGATAACTTGATCAAGTTAATTCTGTTGAGAGTGAAGAGGTCTAAGTAGCTATTAAGTGAATGACGATGGCTTAAAGTGATATTGACCATTTAATCTGAGTAACTTGCTGACAGAAGGTCTCTCATTAACTCTTTTGGCTTGATTTTATCAAAATCGTCCTTTCTTATATCAGTAAATATAACTTTTTAGAATTTAGAATTCAAACATATTTAAGAATATTTTAGTAGTGCTATGCTACGAACAGAGGTTCCAAATTTCCTCAACAAGCAATTGAATTATCTAACTTGACACGTGCCTTTAATACCAAACAGCACGTGCCGGAATTTATGTCAAGTGACGTATTGATAAGTGTGTGGTAATTTAATGAACACCTGACCTCACTTCCCTTTGGAATGTCAAAGGTTATCAAATAGTATGTTTTGTACCTTAACAAAACCACACGTCCAATTATAACTCACAATAATTTTATATATTGAGTAGTTCATATAACGGCTAATTTGACCAGATAATATACTTTAATCTTCAATAACTTCTCCCGAGAGGGCACCTTGAAGACTGATAATTTCTTATTGTTTAACACAATGACTGGTCCCTTGTGGTAGTAAACTTATTGAACAGGTTAAATGCTCACCGATTTCACTCTACTGATTTTGTAATTATTTATTTATTTATCAAAAACAATATAAAAACCAACTCGTAGAATGTAAATTGAAACTGGCAACAAATTCCAAGCTATTAGATGAAGATGCAAGCATTCTAAGGTTCAGATTTTTAACTAAGAAGCTAGCTGGACAACAGTGTAGAGTAAAATCTGAAGGTTATTTGATACTGATAAAATTTCTGATTGACTTTATTTGTAAGAAAATTGATAATCTTAATTAAAGATCTGCTATCTGATATGAAACACATATTACTACACAAATTACAAATTCTAGTAGTCTTGATTCAATATCACACTTTAAATGGCCAGTTACTGTCCAGATGACCCTTCTATCAGAGGTCAATTCTTGACCATTGTCCAGATAATCTGTTTATGGTCGGTTTAAACACCTTAATTCAGTTCGAGTGGAAATTAAGTTAATATCGCTTCATTGCTACAAGGTTCTGGAATTTGTACTCAGTAACACGTCTGTATATAGTTTCTAGTGTTGTTTGAGTTGCTGTTCTTGTATTTCAATGAATGTTGGTGATCAGAAACTAAAAGTCACTAACAACAGACTGCAGCTCTCTAAGTTTTCTTTCAGCCAGTTTGAAATGCAAACTATTTTGTTTATAAGTAGATTATATATCTAACTATTCTCAACTATAAAATATTATCGATCTAAATCCAAGGCTTTTATAGAAATATCTCTTGCTCATCAGTCAGTGTCGACTTTCTCCATTTCATATCATAAAACATGTGTCTGGATATGCATTATTAATTAGACTCGGTCATATAAGAATGTTATTGGGTCGTTATGTTGGCCATATTGTATATTAGGATATCGGGCCCATTATAAAGGCATATGAAACATGGCAATTAATATTTTCTTAATGATAATTAATTGTCTAAATTATTAATAAGACATGTCCTTGGACAATAAAATCTCATGGAAGAATAAAACAAAATGACAGATAAGATGACAGCTTAGTATTCTATATTTGGTGATAAGCTAGAAGTACAAGAGAACAAATAATACAAAAATCAACAACTATTGTTGTCTACAAAGAGTCACTTATTTTAGCACCTTTCAACAAGCTTGAATGACTCAATGGAACTGTTATATCTCTTCCCGACCCCCATGTTTTCATCTCGGTCGAATTTCCTGACCCTTAACCTTGTTATTAGCTACAATATCAGTAAAATATTCTCCTAAATCACTTCTATTCAGTCTTCATTCTAGCTCACATATGGCGCGTTTTTTTCACGTTCAATCACCAAGCGACAATTCGATTTCTGACGCCATATTGACTCTCGGCTAATTCCGCAATTTTTCCGCTTGAGTTACTGCAATTTGTGAAGTAGAAGAGAAGCAGTCGAGAGATGTGATTGTCTTAAGTGCATCTCTTAATTATGTATGTTGGATAAATAAGAGAGATATCTCAATTTCTCACTTATTACAAATTTCGTTGTCGCGTTTTCTGTTTCTGTTTATATGAATGCCCGTAACATATATATAATTATTAATATCAACTCTAAATGTTTTACAAAATATATTCAAACATTCATCTCAGTGTCATTTACATAACCAAACCGCATCATGAGTGCAACACACCATAGTTATTGCTTTGAATACAAAGAAGCACATTCTCACATTTTCGTTTTTTTGGTAATTGAAGCGAAGTCTTCCCGATATGTTAAGCTAACTGTTGAGGTTGTTCAGTCGTGGATAAGTATTGGAAACGAAGATAACCCTGAATTGTTTCTGATTGTTTTTTCTTAAATTATGGGTATATGAATAAAATAGTGCATGAATTAATGGACTATATTTGTAGGGTAAAGGCAAAGGCCCATGTCCATTCAAAAAACTTCAGAACGCTGATGTGGGTGAAAATGGGGGTAATTATTATAAGACACCAGGTCTATAAATAATACAGGTAGTAAGTTATATCTTTATTGTAAATGTACGTGTCTTTCACGACTAGACTAATCTCATAATGTATTTAATATTAAGATTCTGACTAACTCATCTAATCGTGAGAACTTTTCAATGTCAAGGCAAATCCTGAATTCTCTTGAGTTTTCTTGATGTGTCTGAGTGTCGGCAGACAAGATTTGCTGTTTTGATCTTTGTTTGTTACAATTTTTCAATGATTTCCATTTGTGATACAGAACGTTCTTCTACACAGCTTGTTTCCATTTCGATCAACTTAAAGGGCATCTCAAATTTCTTGTCCAAATGTAACCTACCCTTGCATAAATATCAACATCGTTTCAAGATGGCCGTCAACGTCACTACCGTCATGCATCAACTTTATTCAGGGTCATTGATTGGTCAAAATAACTAAATTTTAATTGTTGCTTGTTTTTAAATAAGACTGTGGCAGGTGTCGGTAGGGGGTAAAAGTTGAAACAAACTAACAAGTTTAATTAAATTAAATTAAATTTTAAATGAAATGAGCTATTTCTGCACGGTGGATTTACTTTCTGC